CGGCCCCCCGCCCCGCCCCGCCCTGCCCTCCCCTCAGGGCGCCCGTCCCCGTCCCCTCAGGGCGGGCCGCACCACCTTGCACGCGTGCAGGTGTGGGGCGACGCGAAGGACCCTTCCGGAAGAGCCACGTCCATGCCGTTTCGGTCACGCTGAGGCGTGGGGCACCCCGCTCGCGACCGAAAACGAGTCCCACCCTCCCGCTTTCCGGTGGGGGCGCGGGGCGGGAACCGGCGGGGGGGGCAATGGCAGGATTGGGGGTCCCTCCCCGCCATGCCTGGCGGCTGTGGTTTTCGTGCTTGCGTTTTCAGAAATCACCCCCCCCGGGGGAGGAATCGTGGCGTGTATATGTGCCGTACACGCGTGTGCCTCCAAGCCGCTGCGGTTCGAAGGGTCGCTCCCGTCTCGATTAAACGCCGGCTCCTAGACGGCTTTGTCAGCACAGCGGGCGTGAAAGCCCCGAGCCCGGTTGTAGGACCGGACGCGAGCTGGGCTGACGCCCGTGGGGTTGCGCGTCGGCGTTGGGGTCCGCGCGCCTGCAGGACCGGGCTCTTGGTTGTTGCCAGCGCAGCCGGGGGGGGGGAAGCGACCTGCGATCCGCCCTGCTCCCGAGCTGAAACGTCGGCCGGACTCCAGCAACGATGCCCATTGTTGACATTTATTTAAGTGCTGATACGTTTGATGCTAAGAGGAGCTTTAATCCGGACAGACAATACGATGCTGGAGGGACCGGGAGGGTGAAGGTTGCTGGAGGCAGAAAGGCTGCGGCTGGGTTTTCAGATTCCATTTTGAGTGTGCAGCGTTGGAAGTTGCTCTTTACACATCTAAAGATAATCTGCTCTGAAAGCCGTTGAGAGAGGATGAATGGGGAGCCCCGCAGCGTCATTTTTTAAGGCACCTTTTTAGAGTATTACTACACAGTTTGAAAGCAGTGGGCATTTCTGTGCTGTATGATGGGAGGGCAGGCTCCTTTGTAGCGGTTATTCAGTGCTCACAGACACAGAAAATAAATGCGCGTGGCTTGGAATAAGACCGAAGTCTCAGGTGAACGCTCCCAGCTTGGTCTCTTTTTAAAAAGTTCGCCTAGAAATTCCCAAGGGGCGCGAGTTGGAAGATGTCGGATCCAGACTTTAAACCCCGCGGGGTGTTTGGAGCCCGAACCCTTTAGCTAGCTCGTCCCTAGGATCAAACAGCGGTCTGTCTCTCTCTGCTGAGTGGCTCCGAACCCTGTGCTTTCGGCAGTGTTTGAAGCCGGCCCCATGCTGTAGGTGAACGGCACTTTAGAGGAGAAAGTTCAGTGGAAGTTGAGTTGCGAGTCTTACATGCCCTGTCCTCCCAAAGTCGGGTTGAGCGTGTTTCGTGGGACGCCGCACGCTGGTTTGGGCGCCTTGACATAGGATGAATCACTAAAGTCCTAATTCTGCAAATGCTTACACAGTTTCTTATCCAGGTTGTAGCCGTATTGGTCTAGAGGCAAAGGGGATGAGAACTCGTGGTAGAGGTGGCGATATCTTTCATCAGACCAACTAGATTATTGCGAAAAAAAATCTTTAATTGCAAGATTTGAGGACAAGCACCCTTCTTCAGGCATAGGAGAAAAGCTTGTAAAAGTTCTCCTAGGTAGCAATGAAAGTTCATAGGAGAGTTGAAGGTGTGGTAAATCTCCTGTACTTTCATTTCTACCTAGGAGAACTTTTACAGGCTTTTCTCCTATGCCTGAAGAAGGGTGCTTGTGCTCGAAAGCTTGCAATTAAGAGGTTTTTTTGCAGTAATGTAGTTGGTCTGATGAAAGATATCACCTCTGCCTCAAGTTCTCATTCCTACAGAGTCTCTTGTCTTTTCTAGCCAAGGAGTCCTGTGTGGAGTTCAGCACGTGCATTAAGGCTCAGGATCGGGGCCTTATTTAACAAGAGGGGTTGGTAGGGGGAGCTTTATCTTACACAGAAATCAAAGTTATCGCTCCTGACCCTATTTTTGTATAAAGTCTCTTGCTAGTATCAGCAGTTTCAGGCAGTTTGCAGCTCCTTTTCCTTTCGGAGCACGAGAAGACTGTGGTTCCAATTAGAAGTTGGCATTCCTCGATAGAGAAAACTGAAAATTATTTAGCTGGTGGGAATTACATCTGGAAGATTTTCTTTAAAAGCTCTTCTCAGTTTATTCAGATTGTGGAGAAGCTGTAAAAGTGGGAGGCAGCATTAACGTTACATTCTGGTCAATACCTCCCATCTACTAGATTGTGAGAAACCAGGAAATAAAAGATTACGGGATCTTAAATCCTTACTCCCAGAAACCCCGAGTTATTTGGGCTTGTTTTGGTGCAGAGCGCAAAGTAATTGAGGCTTGTGCTGCATATTTTCAAAACTAAGTAGATGTGATGTAGCTTTGGAGGAAGTTTAATCTCTGGATAACAGAGAGTCTATTTGTAAGTTATAAGGCCAATTATGCCAGGATATCAGATTTCTAAACAGCAGATTTATAACCTGTAGCTCAGGCAGTTAGAAGCTTCCTTGTAGAATAGGCTGATTTTAAATAGTAAGTTGACTTAATTAATCTAGAAAAGCACAAACTCCCTGCTTTTTAAATAAGTGCCAGTGGGAATTGGGGGCATATTTAGTACCTGGTGGGCCTTTGCCTGGTCAGGGAAAAAAAATCTGTATTGTGCTGGCATTTAAAGCCCCTGCTGAGCAAAGGTCCCATGGTGGGAGAAGCTGTGCATAGACATAGCACAAGCCAGTCCCTGCCTCCAAAGCTACCTAGGCTTGACAGCCCAAGAGCGTTTGGCAGATGTGCAGCAGGCAGAGAGGGATCCTGTAACTTGGTGAAGGTCGTGCCAGGAGTCTCTGGCAAAACTGGGATTTGGGTTTGATCTTCTGAGTCACAGTCTTGGCTGCAAGGCCGGCCGCGCTCTGGGTACTTGATTCATCTCCAAGATTGTGAGGCTCTGGGGAAGAGAGGGACTGGTGTTCTGCAAAGCTTGCCGTGCAAGAGCATAGTCCAGTGGTAGGTGCTCCAAAACACCCGGTAATAGAGCAGTCACTGTCCTGGTTTCACATTTGCTTGAGAGCCGTTGGGAGATCCTTTCTGCAGAGCCGGCGTCTGGGTTTGATCTAATATATCTGCACTGTTTTAACTGCAATGACAGGTGTTGTCAAAATGCCATAGCAATTCACTTTGCATTTTGATTATTGCCCTGTGTGTTTTAAAATAGTCTTGGTAATATATTAAACAGTTAAAAAAACCAAAACCAAAAAACCTTTTAAAAAAAGCAGTGTAAAACTTGCGCTTGCTCTTCTGTATGTTAGTGGAGGCTTGGTTTGGTAAGCCTGCTAGATCTGATGGGTGTACCAGCACAATCCGTGTTGGCTAGGCACCGACAGTTCAGTCCGATTCCACCCATACAGAAAACGTTTCTTCTCCAGCAGTCCCTCACAGCTGTGGATGATTGTCTCCCGTGACAATCTTGGAAGATGTCAAACTAACAACCAGGAGGAGGAAAGTGTTGTAGGAAGGACCTTGTGCCGTGTAGTGAGTTTGACTGGGATACAGCAGACGTCAAAACTTCCTTCTTCAAGCTGTTGTTATGGGAAAGAGATCCTGAGTTGTGACTTCTTAATTGCAGCTACAAACCTGAAGGCAGAGGGGCTGGGGATGCATGCGTTGCATGTTCAGTAAAACGCCTAGTGTATTTTTAGGTGCCATAAAATACAGGAAGGATAGTGTGCCAGCACGCCCCACTGCTCACACCCACAGCAGATCTGTTCCAGGGGGAAAAGAGTTAAGAAAATGGTGTTCAATTTGTGTGTGCATGCATGATTGTTTTGTTTTGTTGGAGGACATCCAGGGGTTTGCACACAAACAGGCTTCTTATGCTTTGAAACAAGCTCCCTGTTTATTTTGCATGACATGCTTTGTTATGGAGCACCAACACTGTCTTCAGCGATGCCAGCTATGCTCCTTGGATAACGGTGTCATCACGCAGCCCAGTGAGGAAGTAGCGTTACCCCATTTTGCAGGTGGGGATCTGAAGCATGGGGAGGGAAAAAAAAAAGCCCTTGTTCAGGGTCACATAGGAAGTCTGTGGTGGAGCCCTGGAGACTAGGACTTTTTGTCTTCTGCATCCAAAGCCAGTTCTCTTCTTGCCACTAAACCATTCTTCTCATCAGAGGCTTGACCGCTGCCAACGCGCCACCCATAAAACCCTGGAACTGAGTTATATCACATGCAACTTCTGGATCAGTTGTAACTGGAATGAGCCGTATGAACTGTGACCAGGTAAATGTCTTGCCACATCTATCTTTAGCAAACAGCACCATAATATCTGCATGGTGGTTAGGGTACCTATGGCAACAGTATAAGCAGCATGCAAAAACTGCGGCAGGTTCTCTGTCACGTACCACAGGCACCTCTATCCTTAGGATAAACTGGAATGAGCTACATAGATGACATATGCTTTAAAAACAAACAGAATGAGGTAAATGGTACGTGACTAAAATACTCGATATCTTAAAATGTAAGAGTGCACAGAAGCTTATTTCTCCCACTTGAAGCTCTGACACAACATGAATAATTTTCCCCGTGCTCGTAATTCAAGACGTAATCTCATTCCATGGTCGTTGGTATAAGCGGCATGGTCTGTGTCACAGGAACCAGGCGCTCTTCATCACCTACGACAGTAACTTCGTAATTACCAAGGACATAGCGTTCTGTGCTACTTGCAGCCACCAGTGGAATTTGGATAACTTCAGTGTATGGCAGTCAGTCTCCAAAGCCAGATATTTAAGGGAGCAGTGGAAATCGGCAAACATCTGGACTCGGGAAGGCCTTCGACTAATGAAGAGGATGACATTATATCTCCTTCTCAGCCATAGGTTGCGATACCATGGGTTTGCTCATGCTTCTGGGCCTTCCACTTTTAATACTCATCCTTCAATGAAGCTGTTCAAGACAGGATTTGGGTAGCTGCCGGCAGCTGTTGCTAATTGATTTGTCCTCTGATAATGGTCAGCGTTGCTGAGTGGAACACAGGAGGGAGATGTTCGTCCGCCGCGTTGTTTTTTGTTTGGGGTTTTGGTTTAACGTTACCCTGTTGTTATCTGTTTGCACGAACAGCTGCTCAAGTTTGGGAAAGTTGAGTTAATAACAGCTTCAGTTTCCCTTTGCTAGACAGGGCTCGGAGAACCTCAGTCATGTAAACATTCCCCACATGTGTGCGTGCCCGGCCAGAGGAACAGAGCCAGACTCAGGACTGGGCAACGCCTTCTCCTCTGCCCCAGGCTTCCAGGCTTTTCCTTCATATCTGGGCTCATACCTTCACTGGAGGTGGAGTAGAGAAGTCCGTTTTGCTGCAGCAAGGACCAGGGTATGTTAGCAGGCAGGCTGTGCCCAGGGCGTTGGAGAGGGTCATGCAGTCCATCTCCTTTTGGAAAATAGCTAATGTTAACTGGAGAGTAGCACCCCAATGTCCTGTCTCCCTGCACACTTTCGTCGCACCTTATTGAATGTTGGCCGTGTTCTCCATTGGACTAAACTTCCACCTTTGGCTCATTTCCCAGGTTGCTTAGGTTTTTCAGGGGCAAAAAGAAGGTGGGATGAAGGGGAGTCAGAAGAAAAACTAACCAGGATGCAACTACATCTCTGTTCTGAAGTGGGGTTGATAGTGCCATGTTGGGGTTTAATTAGCAACTCTGAGATTTAATTGCCTTTCTGCAAGGGTTTAATAACAGCGTTATTCTGCAAATGTTTAATAAGAGTTGTCTGAAAAGGGAGTTGCGGACTTGGTAGAGGAGGAATCTCAGAGGGCTATTGTTTTACCCAGGCTGAAATGAAATGTTGGTAAGGTTGTTTCTGGTGGGCGTAATGGCTTTTAGTGACCTGCGTCCTGGATTTCATGTGCGCTGGTTTTATTTATTTTTTCTCCCAAGTTGGATTGGAAACTTGGACTCGGTTGACATGCTCTCTTTACGTGAAGAGAGGTGGAATCTCTTTACTTAAAGAAGGGGAGGAAAAGGAGCACATCCATAATCTTTTTGGTAGCTGAAGTGATATATGCAGGTGATGACAGCAGGTATCTAGCTGAAATATATATTGACGGAGACCATCTATAGCACGATGGGTAAGGGTTTTGCCTAGGTACTTAAACAGAACCAACCTACTTTGTACAAAGAGAGATTGGGAAACACATAACATGTCTTTATTCTTATGTGTGCGCTTCATCCTTCCCCCCCGCCAACAAGTGCTTGTTCCTTCTTTGTTTTTTTTTCTTTGTAAAGCATCTATGCAAGAAGATCTTCCTTTGTGGGAGCATTTCCCCCCAGAAGCAAACCATGGTGAACAATTCAGGATCCCTAGGACAGGTGACGTGCAAAGCCCGGCATTTGTGAGCAACCCTACAATAACCAACCTGGGTACGCCCAGCCCTCTGCCCAGAGGCAAGCCTATGCAAGCAAGCACGCTAGCAAGCATGTTTGCTAGAGACAGATGCTGGTGTCAAGACAAAGCGTGGGGAATCATAAACGGCCATTAAGTCGAGGCATATACAGTTATGAAAACTACCTGGGCTGCATTCTCAGTGTCAACCACACTTTCAGGGCCTTGTAGCCTTGCCTTTTGAAACCGCCATATGGCTGAGATCTGGGGTGCAAGTGGCGAGACCAGATGCAGGATTTGTCTCTAACAAAAGGTTTTGTAAATCACTTAAGCAGCTTTTGAGTTTCCAAGTATAAAAATATCTGTGTAATCGCTTTCAGCTGTCTTTCTGACTTGGTATTTTTGGGCTGGGTGAAATTTTTGAATTGTGGGGATTTGTATGTGAAAAAATATTCTCTGTGACCTGACATCCCGGTGAGTGACAGGGTGTTAGCAGCCCCGGCAGATTCTTTGTTTGCTTGGAAATCCAGTAGTTCTGCAACACCAGGATGGGAGAGCTTGCAAAGTAATCGAGAGCAGCCAATGTGCTGTTTTTCATTGTGACGTTTTAATCCAGATATTGGGATGAAAACGTTAGTTTAAAAATGCATTTTTGGCAGTTTTATTTGTTGCTCTCGGGTTGCAAAGCTAAACATCTCAATTTTATTCCAGGAAAAAAGTAAATTATTAGAGCAGCGCTCTCTGCACAGCTACGCAGTGTTAGGGGAAGGAAAGCGACTGTAAATCTCTAGAAGCTGAGAGAGTCCCTCCTTTCCCTTAAAAGGTACAAAATACCAAGCTTTTTTTTTTTTTTTCCCCCTAAGGACAGATAATCACAACAATGAAATTGAAATTGTGACTGGAGACATCTGAGCATGGAAAATTTATTCAGCATTTCCACATCAGAAGGCAGGCAGCTGAGCCAGGACATTTTTGAATTCTCATTTTTGTTGCTGCTTTTCCAAATGATCCCAAAGTTTCCGAAGTCCTAGCAGGGGT